AGTGAAAATTTTACTTGTAGTAGAGAGGAACTGGCATCTAACAAGATCACTGAAAATCAACTAATATCTCTTCCAAAGCCCGATTTGGTGCAATGAAAAGATGTCTCACATATTGAGCTTACCTCACACTTTGTTTCAAAACATAGCATGGAAATTTTCATACGATACAAATACAATCATTTATAGATAGGTACTTTTTGCACTTGATCAAAGGTATAGTTTACCCTATGAATTTTTTTTTTTGAAAAATTGGGGACGGAATGCATCATTAGCAATCTATAGTGAATCTAAATATAATGGTATTCAAAATATATTAATATGATCATAGTATCTAATTGACTATCACATCCTTAATAGTCAATACACTAGCTCTCTAGATCAAGTGAAATCTCTAGCTCCATTAATTTAAAGTAGGAAGAGTAGTGAACATGTTTGCAGGGGATAACTAATCAAATCAATTTATGGATAAAATATCTTTAGTAATTTCAAAATTTTCACATGGATATCATGACTATGAGGGTTGGATAGAGTTCAAAAAGTAAAAGGCTAAATATGTAACATTTATAAGCATAATGAAGCATAACATCATAACACAGTTCCACCCCACAATTTAAATGTCCTCAACGGGCTAGAGCATTAGCTAGCAATGAAAAAGGGTAGGAATGGTGTAGCTAATTTATCGTCTGATTTCGTCGAACACTGGTTCTTTATTGAATAGGGAGATCCTAACATAAACAAAGAATACATAAAAATAACATAATTAAAAGAAATCAAATAATATATATGGAATCATCATGATGGTGTAGTTGCCTCAGTGTCCACCATTTGATCCTCGTCATCTTGTCATCCTTATCCTCCTTATCATCGTCCTTAGTTTCATCGACTGGGGGTGCTTTCACTTGTTGAACTAACTCGAACATTGCCCTGAATTGACAGAAAAAGGGAGTTCGACCAGCTGACATTGGATCCAGAAGAAGGTTCAAGCTTTGAGGGTAAAGCTTGTTTAAGAGGGGGGCCTGATATGATCCCAAATTGCTTTCAATTGAAGTTTCCATGGATTGATAAAGAAGCCATCACAATTGGGAAGAAGGAGCTTGAAATTTGGCTAAGTATTTTCTTTGTTTCACGAGACATACTTTGGAGGCTTGGCTCTTACAATTGGCTTGATGGAAATTCAAAAGGAAAGCTTGGGAATGAAGACAAAGCATTTCTATTCATACGGGAGGGATTGGATGATCAAGGAGAATCCATTGAAGTCATTTTTCAAAACTCCCAAAATACTCTCCAGAAAGCTGAAATCTGCCTAGAAATGGCTAAGCATGAAACCGTGTTCGTGAAACCATCTTTGGAGCCTTATTTAAGACAGATGAATGAGAGTCGAAGCAGAGAGCTATGCCACATGAAAGAACATGTTTTAATCTACAACCTAAAGGAATTGGCTAACGGATTGGAGATCATTTGCCCTATGTTTGAGACATCCAAAGATGCTCGGAAGAACTGTTTTGTTTCTTGTGTAGGAAGGCATAAATCTTTATATCACAAGGATTCGTGTAGAATTAGTTTCCAAGTTGTATTAGGTTTATGTTAAGCTATGTTTAACCTAGTTTTGAGTTTGTTCTTTGCCTATAATTTGATTGCAGGTGGTCCCCAGGTTTAGTAGGCTCGTTGTCACAAAGTGGCACGTTGGGCTGAGGTTCCTGGGTAATAAAAAAAAGAGGCTCAATTCGTATTTGAATTCAGATGGAATTAGAGTAACATTTACCCAATTCTCAAGCTTGGTGAGTTTGTGAGATTTGTTTGGGTTTTGGAGAGATCCAAAACTTGCTGACCTTGGCTTATTGATCGAGAAACCACACTCGATTACATCGAAAGCTTCCTTAGATTCTATCGTGCATTCTTCCTAGTGTAAGAATTCCCTTTCGCTTTCATCTTATTCGTAGTCAAACTAGCTTATCAAGTTTTTTTTCTAACTCTGTTTTGTCCTTGACCAATCCCTTTGATTGATTGAGACTGGTTGCGCGATTCTAGTTCAATTGAGACCCTACTTGGGGCTCATCAGCATCCAATTTCATTTGGTTTTGATCTACCTTTATCAAAGCATCATTAAGACCATCCATGATGGATATATGGTGTTTCACGACGGTGAAAATCTCATGCATCTTCTTTTCTTACTTCTCTCCCATTGATTGCTCCTTCCTTGGTTGCTCTTCCCTTTAAGATTTCTTCTTCTCTGTCTCCTATGTTGGTGTCACCCCTAGTGCTCTAAAGGCCAACTTCACTGGGTTAGCTCGAATTGGAGGTTTTCCATTGTCTTTCCTTTCCTTCTATGGGGGTTTTGGTTGATGCTAGATCAATCCCATGTTTGTCTAGAAAGTCGAAGTTCATCACCTTAGAAGGTGTGGGTCGAAGTTTGAGAAGAGTGGGAAAATCTCTCCAAGATTGTCTCCCTTCTTCTTTAAGATTGTTCAACTCAATAAAATTTATCCCATTGAATTTTTACTCATGAAATTGCTCGAATATTATCACATTCTTCAATTGCTATTTTGACATAGGAGAGGGAATACCTGACTAGGTTGATAGAGTGCCTTCAATTGGTCGTAGTGAATCGAATGAGCAAATAGTGAATCAATTCACTAGTTTGTGTTGGGTTTTAATTTACTAGTGGGAGTATTTGTTGTACTGTCTTGGTATTTTATTCCGACTGAGGATAATCTCCCTCCGGGTAGTTATTCAAGAGGGTTTGGTATCCTTTAATCGAGATGAGCTAAGGAGTAAACAACATCGGCCTAACTAAGGACTAGGGGAAAACATACCGAGGTGACTTTCTCATATATGAATTTGATTCATTTTACTTGCTTTGTTTCTTTAGTTCTAATAATTGACAGTACAATGTGTTTGCTAGATAATGGATAATTCATTAAGTAATAGTAGATTTAGCAACCCTAGACTGACAATTAAAACTGAACGTCCTCTTTACAACTTCCCAGTCTTTGGTTTGCACTTGGCCATTTATTGGAGTAGTAGTTTTAGCGATTCAAATAGTTGTAGATCAATAGGTCGACCATAGTGGCTATCAGGTTGACAATTTAGGTGCAATCGTGAGGTTCATTGTCTTTTAACACTCCTCCACGATGTTGGCTTGAAGTATTAAGATACACTAGCGCTAACCGGACGACCTCTCCATGGTGCGGTCCACTGGTTTATTTATGAACATCGGCTTTTTCATTATCACATCATATAAGCGATCAACAACTCTTTTCATTTATAATGGTTGAGTCCCATTGTGTAAGCGTGTCAACCATTTTGTGAATCTGGCCGACCGCTTTGTCCAAATTAGGATGACTTGGAAGTCACATAATAAACCTTATTTCAAATTAAGTAACACATTTTGCCAAATATTGATATAGAGTAAGTGGGCGCTTTACATGATGACCAGTGTCTATTAGCTAGCAACATTGGCTTATAACCTACACAGGAGTGAGGAGCTACTTAACTGGGTGATCAGTCTAATCAATGAATAACTGTCAGAGGAAAGCGCAACGAATACCATCTTTAAGAGAGAAAGCTCCCCGCCGCTGAAAGAGACAGAAGAAGGTTCAACTAGCGCTTAGAGTTCGGTGAGCTATGAGCCAAATTCTTAACATATAAACAAGCCTCCTGAAAGTTCAGAACTGGACACTTAACCGAACGAAAAAGTTCTCTTGTCTCTAAAGGAGACAAAACACCTAAAGACATCTAATTCACGCATTTTTTGTGTTTATTCATGTCATTTTGTGCTTATTCACATAATACTATGTTTTATTCACGTAAGAGTGTGTAAGTTATTCACATAAATGAAAATTTAGACTTTTCCCCTAATAATTTGTATTGACTATATTTTATGAAATTAAATTTGGACTCTCATTTAATCTGTAAAAATGCGTTGCATTGATCATAATCTATACAGTGACATCTATTTTGACATATTGCAAAGTTTAAAATTTGAGTTTACAACGGTGTGAATAAATAACAATATGCTTGTATAAACACTAGGTGACTAAACAATATTGGTTGCGTGAATAATCAACACTCTAACGTGAATTACACCAAGATGGGGTGATTAAGCTCAATTTTACATGAATAAATGAAAAAAATACGTGAATGAGCTATTGTATCTCTAGGAGTGCCAAGAGGTTGGACTCTAATGAAACTACTATTCGAGTGACATTCTTGTCAAATTATCTTTTACGAAACAACATAAAATAGTATAAATCAATATAATTTATTAATTTTAAAGAACTAGCGAGAAGCTAAGATTGTATAATGTGGTATGATATTAAAAAGATTATATACCCTGCAATCCCAGATTCCATCGCCTCGTCTCGCGCCTCCCATCTCGCCATCTGAGTTTGCCCTCACGAAGGCTTCATCAATATCAACTTTGATGCTGTTGTTTGTGATTTAGATTGCTCGTCCGACCTTGTCATTTGAGGGACAGACGTGCAAGTTTATTTGGCCTTGGGTTTCCAACATCCGGGAGTGTGGAATCCTTACCTTATAGATGTAACGTTTTTTTTTTTTTTGAGGGACCTACATGTAACGTATTTGAATATACAACTTTGAGTACACTTCATTTTGTCTATAGCCCTAAATCTTCGACAGCTTTGATATTATATGGTAGGTAGCTTTTCTAACAAAACAAAAGGCTGTCAATTAGCCGGTGCATCTGATTTTGTTGTACTTTATATTTATTAATGATTTAACAAGCGGACAAAAATGATTGTTTAATTGTTTTAGGCATCCTTCAAGGTCTCCCATTATTGCTTGCTAAACCATGATTTTTTAGATTTAGCTACAATGAGGAATCGGTTTATGTCAATTTAACTCCTTTGATTGATCTTGTGCAATATAATAATGTCATAACCCATAGCAATAGTACCACCACATTTGATAGCTTGCTCTTCAGATTTATATGATTTAAGCGATACATTTGAGTTAGAAATGAGTGATGATGTGAAATACATGTATAATTATCATTATTAAGCTCATTTTTTCACGAAATTGACTAGTCTAATCTCACGATTATCTTTTCATAATTCAAACACCCAAACCGTAACTTATTATCTTGCGATAAATGCAGGTACATAAATTTTCTAGTAAAAAGAAAAGAGGAAAAGAAAAGACTTAGCGGGTGCTAATCTTTAGACACCTCAGCTAGCCTAAAATTTACCCCACAAATAGAAAGTAACCCTCACTCAGAGTCTCAGACCCCTAACTATCCACACAAACCTCAATCTAGAGACACACATTTTTTTATATAATACAGGCACTAAAATTCTCACTGTCGAACTGTAAAAAATGATTCTAAAACTGGGAGCCTTCGAAAGCCTGGCCAAACTGCCAACCAGCAGGAACCACGTTGTTACTGGTGACGGTTTTACCGTCACTCGTGGTGACGGAAAAGCTCAGGCTCTGGCCGTTGAGGTAAGCGTTGCTCTGCCAGTTCTGTCCCCAGTTCCTGGACAGCGCCTGCCACCCTGTCCTCGACCCTTTCACCCACACCGACTTGACGTCACCGGCGCCTCCCACGTTGGTTACCAGCACCAGGTTGAAGTAGGAGTGGCCGTTGATGGCGAACCTGATCCCTCCCTTCTTCCAGCAGGGCACCCTGCGGAAGGAGACCGGGACGATGCCGGCGTGGAACTTTGCGATCTGGAGGAAAGCGGGCTGTGCCAGGTCGAAGTGCTGCAGCGGCGGGTTGCACCACCCGCCGTTGTTGCTGGGCAGGGCTGGGTTCGGCGGGCAGAAATTGGTGGCGCTGACGATGACGGAGCGAGGGAGGCACCATTGTGGGTCGTTCACGCACTTCATCTCGAAGCACGCCCCGCAGCTCAGCCCGTTGTTGAACAACGCCGTGCTTAGCGCCGCCGTGTTGGTTCCGAACCCTTGACTGTACAAGTTTCCGTACCCGCAGGCTCCCCCTAATTGGACGGAAGAAGAAAAAAAAATCACCAAAAAGGTCAATTAACCTAATTAATTCAACCCAAATGCGCCCAATTGACACAATTGAGCTTAATTAGTAAAAGGGGGCGAGGTAGGCAGGGTTAATTGCGTACCCATTGTGCCAGAGGCGTCACCACCGCCGTAGAAGGTGGCGTGAGCGGACTGCCAGCCGCCGTAACCCGCCGAAACACGATCAAACATCGATGAAGCGAAGAACAGAGAGAGGAGGAAGAAGAAGAACGTGATATGAGAGAATGAGAATGTGGTACAAGGAGCTGCCATTTTTGGGATCGACTGTGCTATTGCCTTTGTGGGTTTGAAGATGTGCTCTGTTTTAGTTGTACTCTGTTTTTAGATGTGGTGAAGCAGAGCAGGGGAAATGGGCAGTATTTATAAGCAGCAAAGAAGAGAGTAGCTACTAGCTAGCTAGGCTAGTGTTGTCTAGGAAGCTAAGGGGGAAGAAGGGGCGGTATGGGGATTGCGATCGAGTTAGGGACAGCCGGCCAACAAAGCTGATACACGGAATCGATGGAAAGAAAGCCCTGCACATGCACAAAAGTTGGTTTGGGTTGTGATTGATGCATTATATTAATAGGGGAATTTGGATTTGGTTTGTTGTTTTGGGGCCAGCAGGATGTGGGGGGAGGAAGAAGGATCCCTTTAACAACCGTTCAAAATTCTACCCACCACCAAAAATATTTTGTTCCTAATCTTCCCTTTCTTCTTTCTTTCGTTGGCGCGAGGGTGGGGCCGTGACGGATACCATTTGATACGAGCCTGCACATGCATCTGCTATTAAACATATCGAGATACATTGCTTCTTCTTCTGATCATTGTTAAGTGAGCATCTATTTCGTGTTCGTGTCGTCAATTCTTATTAAGTTTGTTTGTTGTTTTTGTGTTGGTATGTCTCCACTGCGTGCGTGTGCCTGTTCTTGTTACTGCATGTGTTGTCTGTTTATGTTTCTTTGGATGGGTGTTGGTTCAACTTTGAGATGGGATATAAAGTTTAGCTTTTTGAGATTACTAGTTCGTATCGCCACGTTGTGCTGTGGCAATTGGGTAAGTGCGTATTATTACTAATCCAACCGTCTATGAGATCCCCCATTACGGAGTAACATCTTCATTATAATATTTTTGCTTTAATTTTCATTTTAAATAATTAGCAATAATTTGTCTCTGCATTTACTTAATCTTTTTCATGAAGCTTGGCGATGATGTTTGCTGAGACTGAAAATAATATTTTCTTCAAGGGAGATTATTTTTCCAAGAGAATCATTTTTATATGTATGTGACTTTCTGAAGGACGGTCGTGAATTAAAGATTGTCAATAAGTTGAGAGAAGCAAGACCTTGAAAAGGCGGGTCTAGAATAGGGGTGGAGATAGCATAACAACAATCCTAGTGTTGTTACGGTACCAACAGGACAGAAAGGTAAATTAACATTAAAATTACCAAATTGAAAAACCTAGGGTTATAGGTATAATATGCCCATCTACTATATCGTTTTGTCAAACATGCCCCTCTACTATTTTTTACATCAAACATGTCCCTGTACTTTAGAAAATGATCAAACATGCCCTTTTGTTAATATTTTCATCCAAAAACAGTCAACCACGGTCGTACCTTGATTTGGGCGACACAAATGTCTAAAATATCCCTGGTATTTTCACTTTAGAATTTTTTGGGTTCTTTTGTAGAGCCAATTACCTCTAATAATTTCACTTTAACGAGACCTAGTAAAATAAAATGGGAGACAAAACTGACATTTTCCTCTCATTTGTCGATGTCGGGTCGTCTACATCTCGGTTCAACCATGGTTGACTATTTTTTTAATGGAAATTTTAACAGAAGGGCACGTTTGATAATTTTTCCAAAGTACAATGGTATGTTTGATGTAAAAAATAGTAAAGGGGCATGTTTGATAAAACTACATAGTAGAGGGGCATATTATACCTATAACCCAAAAACCTAATTTTCTCCGTCCCATCCCATTCAGATCTCTGTCGATCTTCTTCCTTTCATCCATCGACGAATCTGATGGAAGGCTCCCTGAAACATATGCGGCAGCTGTGCGCCGGGAGAGCATCTCCGACGGCTTGCCTTCCGACCACCGCGCAGTGGCGACGCTTCTCCTCTGCCATGCTTCTTCCTCCGCCGCCTCTGCTTCTTCACCACACACAAATACGAAATCATCATTGTCATCAGCTCCATTGTTCGTCATCCAACCTGGAGCAAGAGCAGCGGTTTCGCTGATCGTCAGATTTTCGGCGGGATAGGTTGTAGGATCTTCAACGGGGAAGAAGTAAGATGGGCTGGCTCCATCAGTTCTCCTTCTTCAACCTCGGATGCAGAGTGTTTTTGCGCCAATCTCCCTCTGTCATCGCTACCCTTCAGCTCCTAAATCGGCTCTCTCCTCTCGCTGGCGGCTTCCGATTTTTCTCCGGCAACCCATCAGAAAATGGAAGAAGCAAGTAGAAATCCGAACGTACAGAATAATGGATGGGGGATTTCGTCCGTCACTGTTTTATAGATTTTTATCGTCGCGATATTTAATATTTTGGCATCGGGGATCGATTAGTTGGTTGGTCCCATATGTTGGTTTTCCTTCTTCTTTTTTTCACTCGTTGAAGTGATTTTCTTGCTCTGTAAAAATTTATAAAAAGATGCTGGCAGCTGCTATGTTCCTTCGAAAAGTGCAGCTGGTGGCTCTTGGATTAATTGAAATAAATAAAAAAAATATGGTTGTTAAACGTTGTTTTGTAAAGTAACTAAGCTGGGGATTGCGTGTGGAATCTGCTAGGTTACCACTTATGCTATTACTACTGCTTAGTATGGTAAAAGAGCCAATGATATCTTAGGTGAGATTGAGTAGGGTGGCTCTTGTTGTTGTTGCTGCTTGTTACCTTGTTTATTTTTGGTTTTCGTTCCTTATTTGTTCGGTTTCCTTATCTAACTGTATCTCTTTCGCTGGATTCTTTTCAGCTTTACTTTTACAGATTCTTGGCTCCACTGTTGTTCTTGTACCAAACTCGAATTGCTATTCTCTTGACAATTCTAGTCGCCTTGTGGACTTTGTATCCTTAGTTTCCAATGCTTGATATGTCCTCTGAGTATATACAGGTCATCCAAGGTTGGGACCTCTTGTTTTTTCTGTCATCAAACTTGAGTATTAAGCCTGCCTCTAGTAGTGAATAATCCCATAAAAAGCACACCAGAAACCTCTTAATGCAAACCACAAATACGATAAAGCAAACCACAAAAACAAACCAGAAACGTCCTAATGCAGACCAAAAATATATTAAAACAAACAAGAAACCTAACAAAGCAAACCACAAAATTTTCAAAAACATATAAGAAACCTCATAATGCAAACCACAAACACGGTAAAGCAAACCACAATAAAGCAAACAAAAAACGTCCTAATCCAGACCACAAATATATTAAAACAAACCAGAAATCTCGCAAAGGAAACCACAAAAGTTTCGAAAGCACACCAAAAACTTCATAATACAAACCAGAAACCTCTTAATACAAATGATAGACCGTCATTTACACATGTTTTTACCCCCATTCTTACACCGTTTGAGGTGTTGATTCTCATGTTTTAGGCCGATTTCACGCTAGGTTGTGCTTGTTTGTGATGTTTCAGGTCCTAGTACGTGAATGAAGGCTTAGGAGCGAGTCTGGGGTCGATTGGACGAAGAACGGACGAATGGCGAGGTTTTTGGGGAGCTGCACGGGCAGACCAGGGAGGCTGCGCGGCCGTGCACGTGAGCAATATGGCCGTGCGCCTTATGCCGAGGACACGCACGGGCAACCCCTGAAGCTCGCACGGCCGTGCACCCTGGCCGTGCGAGAGGGCTGAAGTTCGACTAAATGACACGCTGCGTTTTGAGTTGCACGGCCAGAATGGTGATATGCACGGCCGTGCACCCTGGCCGTGCGAGTCGGGATTTCCTGGTTTTAAGCCAAATTCCGAACCAAAGAAGAGGAGAGCTGGGTTTTGGATCCCAAACACCCAAGGGACGAACCCTAGAGAGAGAGAGCGACTTGGGAACATTCTTGGAGCTATTTTGGAGGATTTCTTCGCCATTGGAGCTCGGGAATCAAGCTTGGAGATGGAGATTGAAGATCTAGATCAGATTTCTGCAGTCTCTCTCTTCTCTATGGAGTAACTTCCCTTCACTTAGGTTTTGAGGAACCTTAGTTCCATGAGTTAGGATCTTTCTTGTATGAAGTTTTGGATGTTATATTGTTTGATTATAATCGAATGATGCATGTTTATTGAGTCAATTGAAGTCTGATCAACTTTTCCTGATTCCTGCTACAATCTGAGATAGATAGAATCTGATTAGGTTGCTAGAGTCTCATCATTCGATAGTAGGAGATTGGCTATACGAGAGTTAGCCAGTTTACTGCTTTGTACTGGAATCCAATTCCAGTAGTGGAGTTCTGTGCTTATTGCTTCAGCTTTCTATCCCGGTGAAGACTAGTCGTCTGCCGGATAGTTAGACTGAGAGGGCTTGGTCAGCTTAAGAGATTCCAAGCTACTGTCGGATCTTCCGCAGTTTAATCAACAGTAAATCAACCAAAAGGAATTACAACTTGGACCTAATTGAGGAGCTAGGGGGAATCATACCTAAGTGAGTTCCCAAACTGTAATTAGTAGTTTTACTTAGTTGAGTTAGTAGAGTAGTTTAGTTAATCAACCCTTAATCTAGTTTGCTAGATAATGAACTGAAGCTGAGTAATAGTAACTCTAGAGACCCGTGGATTCGATATTTATTACTTGTGCCACTATACTGCAGTCCCTTTCATTGGTTACACTTGGCCATTGTTAGGTGTTGTGTTTTGGCGTGTCAACAAACCACAAGTCTCCTAAAACATGCTAGAAACCCCGCAAAGCAAACCACAAAATATGTCATAAGCACACCAGAAACCTCCTAATGCAAACAACAAACACAGTAAATCAAACCACAAAAAAACAAACCATAAACGTCCTAATGCAAACCACAAATATATTAAAACAAACCAGAAACCTCACAATGCAAACCACAAAGTTTTTGAAAGCAAACCATAAACTTCTCAATGCAAACCACAAACACGATAAAGCAAACCACAAAAGGCATAAAAAAATGAGAAACCAAACCATAAATCTCACAATGCTAACCATAACATCCGGTGATCGTTGACCGTTGACCGGTCAACGAAGACCGTTGACCGAACTCCGGTGACCGTCAGTGGGCAGATTCCGACGCCGATAGGCATATTCCAGCCCCGATAACTAGATTCCGACGCCGGTAAGCATATTCCGGCGACAAATAGCATATTCCGGCGACAAAAAACATATTCTGGTGA